AAAAAAATGAACAAGATTTGTGTGAGTTTTATTTTGTAAAATGACTAACGTTGTCACTTAAATCTTCAGTCTTGTACAAAAAATATATCGTTTATTTACAGGAAATTTGGATACGTTTTTTTTAGATTAGAAGAGTACAATCAAAATTCTAAGGTGGATCTGAATTGTTTCAATAATTGATTTGAAATATTGCTATCATAATTTGACCATCCAAAGTAATAAGAAATTTACTTATCCTGTAACACTTGTCTGATGCTGATCGAAAGGGCACTTGGATTTTACCGGGTACTAGAAATTATCATAATTTGATTTTCTGAGAACATTCACAAGTTTTGTGCATCTAAATAAACTGCTGCACAATTTTGTTATTTTCTCTGAAATTTGTCTTGTGAATGTGGTTTAGTTAGTCTTATGAATTTCCAATCCACAACGCACCTACCTGATCAACAGATAGACTTTTTTTTATTTGCATGAAACTCCCATGTTGCTTTGCATGCTCCAATCCTGATTCATAAAATGGAGGATCTAGACACATCACTGAAAGCTATTGGTGCATGCATTGTGATATTTATTCTCAGCTTTTATTATTTCATCAAATTTATTATCTCAGCTTATTTTCAGGTTTCTGTCATTTACACTTTGTATATTGGAGTTGCTGTTGACCTCTGACCTAATCAATGAGTTTATAAAACCTGTGACAGTTTTTAATTATCAAATGCATGTATGAATAGTAAAAGTAAATTTTTCTGGTAAAAAAAACTTGTGTAACAGCGGCGCCCTCTATGTGTAAACTTCAGTAGTCCAGTTTTGATGCCTCACTTTCTAGTGTCTTGGCAGAGACTCTGAATCGGTAAACATCGTGAATCGCACTTTGTATATCAAGTCAAATTTTGACTGTTTTTTTTTTTTTTTACACTCACCACATTAATGCTCAGTGAATAAGTTTAACTGCCTATGATTAGTCCAGCAAAAGAAAAGATATCCACCTATTTGGCTAATTAGATCGATAAAACTTGTTTTTGACCTTCGTCAAAAACTCTTGGAAACTTAACACACACATGTTCATCCAATGCATAATTAACACCAGAGGGCGCTCTCCAGTTGAAACATTTACTGCATGAAGTTTGACTTAAAAAGTTTTTTCACTAGCTTGTAAAACGACCGTTTAAATATGCAATCATTTTTGTACATATGGACTATACCAACTTTTACAAATTTTAACCTCATGAACATTTAATTTGAAAATATGCAGGACAGAGGTGCATGAGTCAATTTATTTAAATATCAGTCTTAAGTTGCATTTAACACTTCGCAAATACCGGTGAGTGAAACATCAATTAATACATAACATGTGTTGAAAATTATTAACTAGATAGATATGATTCCCTGGCATTTCCACATACTGTAAAATACTTTATTTTCGCATGGAATTAATCACTATTTTTGCTGAAGGAATGATTCAGTGAAAATAAAATCCAGCAAATATACATTTTTTCTATATATCCAACTTTTCAAAAATCAGTGAAAATAAATTCCATACAAAACACCCAAGTCTTTTCAGCAAAAATTAATTCCAGCTAAAATAAAGTATTTTTCAGTATTTCATTTTGAAGGTAATGGTGGTTCTTATCTCTTAAAGATACATGTACCTCCAAGGACAAACAAATCTTCCTGAGTGTCTATTGTTTACAAATACAACTTCAAGAGCCTCTTTAATCCATATTCTGCAATTAATTTCTCTTTACCCATACACCTTTACGAAATTGGTGACGCATATGATGGTTCAGAATTTCCAAAGTGAGAATGCAATGTATGCCCAAATCAGTCATGGTCAAATGATTTCTTTAAGATATCTTGTTTATTTATTCTACTATTTCATACCATGTACAAGTCTTTGAATACATTAAAAACTTTGTATTAAAAAATGTCTCCTTTTACTATGTACCTTGAATGCGAGTGGTTTTACTCCTGTGTTTGTAAGATTTCTGTATTAAAGGGAAAGTCAAAGCTAACAACATAATACTCTCAGATAAATCATTTTCTCAATTTTTGACAACAGATTCTATGTCATACTTTACTTGAGAATCAAGATGGCTGACTACATAATAGTGATGAAAAGCATTGTGTCAACACAGGTGGCGCTATTCAGCACAGACCTGTGTCTCATGAGACTAAATATCCATCCGCCACCATTTTACTGAGAGTTTCTTCCACGGAACTATATACAAGTATTTTTCTTGTTTTGAACACATTCTCGCCCGATTTTAAAATACTCATTAGAATGTCTTATTTTATTAACATTAAAATACATGTAATTTGGCATTGACACGCAGATCGCTGCAAACCAACCGAATAGCGTAGGTATGTGTCAGATCTGTGTGTCAATGGATGAAAAGTGATATAAAAACTGTGTATTGCATGTTCTTTCATCTGGGAGTATTATGTTAGTCTTGACTTTCCCTTTAAACTCAAAATTTGATCTATTGTGGATATCAACTACTCTGACAATGCTTCCACTGCTTTTAAGAGCTGAATACCCTTAGCACTCACTCAATTGAGTACAGTAAATGTTTTGGAGTATACTGAATAAGATGAACATATTTTTAACATCTTGGAAACTGCAAAAACATTAAAATTAGAAAATATACGACCTTTCTATTTGAGGCATATTACAATATTCCATAATGTAGGAAAGCCGACATTTGAATATTGAAAACAGTTTTCGATCATTTGTAAACTTGATTTCATTAAAAAGTACTGTATGTAATATATTTTACTTACATCTATAAATGAACTGGAAATGATCCTTTTGCTGGCATTGCAAAATTTTTTTCACTTAAAAAAAATAATTACAAACTTGTTTTCCCTAAATATTTGATCATAAGGCCACACAGACTTAATTTTATGGATGACAAAAAAAAAATCTTGAAAACTAGTCTCCACAGATCGGTTTTCTGTTCGGAACTTACTGACTCGTATTGTCGCAAAGCGCCGGGTTTTCATATAACTCGTTTTGGACTACTTTAAAAGTGCCAATTTTGTCGTAAATGATCTGCACACGCGTATTGTATTGCCGGGAATTCCAACATGGTGACCACGCCACCAAAATACGTGAGCATAAAAGTTCAGAGGAAAAACGGAGGGATTGTTGTAGACTGGTACGCAATTGACTTGGCCAGGGAGATGTGACGTTTACACAGCTATACGAGAGATTGGTAGCGGCAAGCGAGTTTTGCCCAGACAACTTTAAGGACATATTTTCCAGAGTGGCTGTCCCACGTTTCTTCTGCAACGATGAGAGAAGTGGAGGTTCATGGAGACCTAAAAGTCCAGCTGTGTAGAGAGGAGCAAGCAAGGACATTTCTGTATCATTGCAATGTTTTGTTAGTTATTGTCATAAAGTAGTGATATGTACATTCCGCCTTGACTTGTACTGAAAATGATGTTCATGCTGTACCATGAATGCAGTGTTTCTGACTGAAGGTACTTCATCATGACTACATGTACTAGAGCTTGCCTGAAATGGTTATACCTGTGACAGTAATACAGTACGAGATGTGTACATCAACATGTGCCTCCTACAAATAAAGACTTTTTTTTTTTTGATACACTGTGTTCTTTTGTTTGTGTTTTTTTTTTTTGGCAGGATTTTTTTTTTTCGCCCTCTCGCATTAGTTTTAGGGTCTCCAGAGGATGTCATCTATAAAATTAAATCAGTGTGGCCTAACCAAATATTATTTTTTTTCATTTGGTTGAAATTGTTCAGAGAAAAACTACAACATTTTTTAAAAAAAATTGCATCAAATCATTTTGAGATGATTGCAAAATGATATAAAGTTAAATCTGTGAAATCTCATCAGAACGTGGAGCAGATGGCCGGTTTCAAAAAAATTAATTATGTAAATTATGTCAAAATAATTCATAAAAAAAAAAATGAAAAATGAAATTTGAAAATTATAAACCAAACTGGAATGCAAACCAATCATGTATGTACCTGTACAGTACAGGATTTAAATCAATTTCCGGTTATATTAAGACAGAAAAACGCATTTATGATATATACAAAATAATTAAAAAAAATGAATACAAATGACACTCAAAGAACACGGCAAAGCATATCGCTAATTTACTTACACATTTTACATGGCACCACCAATCGCCTATCAGTCTCCCAATCCATTTGAAATCAAAGAAAGCTTAGAAAGAACGCCCGTGTGCTGAGAGTATTGAAGA